TCTACGAGCTATCGATAGAATTTTTCCACATTTTTTAAAGTCTCTAATTTTTACTGGCAGTGATATGGTGAATTTCAGAGCAACAATGTTAGTTCAAGCCATGTTTAGGTTCGAATATTTGGATTACGAAAAATAATATAGATGACTTTCACCGAATATTATTTTGTAATATGTTGTTGCAAAAACCTTTGCATCTTAACAGTTTTTCTCTCGGTTATATATAAGTTATCACTTCGTATTGCCCGTATTTAAAATGTTAAAACCAAAAAGATGTTTAAATACCTGTGATTCAAAAATCTGTATACGTATCAGTAAGCTAATGTTTGTTCAGACACCTGCAAGTTCTGGAAAAGAATAGGCCTCCTGAATTCCTGAATATCGTAGAAGGCGACTACTAATATTGGCCCCCTGCGGAATCCGGATTTTCGTCGATGTCGTCAGCTCATGGGATAAGAACTAAAAAAATAATCTGATGCCACTACTGCAACGTTTTCGACCTTTATTTTTTTATCAGTTGCCTATATGTGTACTTTTTCGTCTCGGTGACGTCCCTGTCATCACCCGTCTGCCATGTGATAAGTAGCTGTTGCGAAGACCTTAAACCCCAAACAAACGCAAGGGGTTTGGTCAAGCTAAATTCGTTTGATACATGTCTTACAAAAGCTATCCATCGATCAGGTCTCTGTCTTTTTAAAAATCAAACGGTTGTTTAATATGCGCGGACAGGATACATTGCTCAACGCGATAGTATACTAGTAAAGTATATCATAAGTACGATATACGTTTGGTTTTTTTTTACATAAAAGCAGTTATTTGACGCAGTTTTATAATGAATATGTTCCGTGTCAGACTTACTAATTCTAAAACAACCCCAAGTTAAATAAGACAAGGAAAGCTTAATCAAAGACGAGCAAAGAGTAAAAGTTTAAAGTGTCAACAAACGATCCAATGAAATAACCAAACAAGTAAACAGACACTCAATCAGTCATACGTACACACTGTTACTCAAAAGTACCATTTTTCAACCTTTCGGATACTGAATCGAGTAAATGTGATCCGTATGGTTTTCACCAACAATGTAATGACAACGGCAGTTTCAGTACCGATGCATTCCGTCTTTTCGTATTTCAGAGTTATCTGCTCTTGTGAGCAGGTATTTATTGTTACGTCATTGGTTTGTGAGAGTAACGTCATCAATTTATGTGAAAACGACGTAATTTTCTCACACAAACCAATGACTTAACAATCAATACCTGCTCAGAAGAGAATATAACTCTGCAATATGCAAAGACGGAATATGGCGATGAACATTAATAAAAACGGGAAAACCATGATTAGAATATGCTTTTAATCTACAAATTGGCGTAGATCAATTGACCACCGCGTATACGAACTTCTAAGCGAAATGGGTATTTAGATTTGAAAATCTTCTTTAAGAATAAGAATGACATATGTATTATATACGTTCAAATTAGGGGATACGTGGTCTCAATAACGACCGCACTTAATATAGTACGTGTCTTTCAAATATTTTCATCAACAAATAATAGTTAAGTGAGTTGCGCTAAAACGTAATTTTAGAATTTTGTTTAGGAGCTGTGCCAGATATATAATTAGATGTATGTATTAAAAAAAAACTCCGAGGTTAAAATGTCTATACATATATTGTGTATATAAAGTACAAAAGATATTCATTTCAACAAAAACAAGCAATTTGGTTTAAACTTTACATTTCATTACATCACATACGATGTTTTCAAACTATGACGCATTTGAAATAAATCTGTTTGTGAACAATGCATCAATTACTGCACGTAACGAGTTATGGGAAACGTGCATGCATTGTCAAATTTAAATATCCGCTCTTTATTAAATATATATATGACAAGGGTGTTGTATTTTGCCTACAAAGAAACACCATTTATATCCATGCTTCTTCCCCTTTAGAAACACATTATGTGTGTTTTTGCTTAATGTTGTTTGTGTTTGTTTACATAGCTGACGTCAGGCCCTGACCTTACAAAGCACATAGCATATCACGTGTCTCAGCTGGTAGTTATCAATTGACAATACATGCACAATATACATGACAGTAATGACTCATGATAAGGCATTCATGAAAAACTAAAAGCATTCTTCAATTCTCGATCATCGAAATAAACTTACGAATAATGATCTTCTGTTATACCTCAGTTTATACATTTTTTAAATAATATAACTAAATTTCACCTGCAAACATACAATATCAAAATATAAACAACGAAGGGTAATTTTAGAATTAACATCGGTTTTGGATTTAATCGTCAACTTTCGGCATTGTACTGTATTTGAGTTAGGTAGCACTCTTAAGTCGGCATTAGATCGACAGTCCCTGCTTCAAACACACATTAACACAAGCAAGCACATTAGGCACGTCCTTAAATTACCTTAGCTGTTAATAGGATGTTATACAAAACAAAACAAAACAGAAAGTCCCAGATGATTTTGTTCGGACTTGAGCAAGACCACTTCTAGTTCTACACGGTATATATATATCATAAGAGGCGACTAAATTTGGGATCTTATATTTTCTCTTTTTTCTAAACAACTTTCTTCTTCCTAATGTCTCCTTTTACAATGCCTCTCTTTTGGCCTTTAGTTGAGCGTTCGCTCCTGTGAGGAAGGCTTTGGGTTCTGTCCCCTGGCCGAGACATACCAGAGTCTGTAAAAATGGTAGTGTCTACTCCTGCTTAGCGCTCAGCAATTTAGGAATGGGACGACTGCTTCGCCCGTTGTCAGTATAATGTGACCGGGTGGGGTGTCCTGCTGGTTGTCTTCGGCAGTATGTTTCAGTGAGGTAGCACTACAAAGTCGGCATCGGTTCCGCAAGGAGACAAACACGAACATATCGCAGCCTCCCAAAACACACACGCATACACTACACGCATGCATCTTGCACACAGGGGAGGCCGTCCTTAAATGACCATAGCTGTTTATGGGACGTTAAACAATACTAAACCAAACCAAAACCAAACATACATACTGACTGGTTTCATCACACGGCTATTCCGTCTTTGCGTATTGCAGAGTTATCTTCTCTTGGGAGCAGGGATTGATTGTTACGTCATTGGTCTGTGTGAGAAAATTACGTCGTTTTCTCAAACATCTATTACGTAACTCTCACAAACAAGTGACGTAACAATCAATACCTGCTCCCAAGAGAAGATAACTCTGCAATACGCAAAGACGGGATACATGTTTGTGTCACTTTAAGCAGCCAACTCATTCATATGTCATAAGTAGATACGGCAGTATGATTGTCCTCCCAGCCGATCACATTATTTGAAAATTAACGTGACCCCTGTATTGGGCTATAGTAAGGAGACTCAAGGGTAACAAGACCGAAACCATATGTATATTAAGCTGAACTCTCCCAGAATATTGAATACAATACAATTCCATTATTGGAAACTCCACAGCACTTTTATCCCCCTGCTTCAAGACCAGAGACATGTAGAATTCAATGTCAAATGAATGTCAACGTCGTAATATCAAGGATATAAATAGCTCCGTCTAATTTCATTTACAGTGATGACATCATTGTATTGCTTAGCCGGCTGTTTCTCTCAATTTGTGGTTGTTCTATTTTAGTTGTTGAAATTGGCAAAGAATTCTAATTAAATATAAGTTGCGATAAAATGTCTTAGGTGGCCTGGGGAATACTGTAAAAAATCGATAATGACGCATATGATGTCGAAATTTAATAACAGACTACAGAAAACATTTAATATTTAATTTGTATCCGTGTTATAAATAACAGATGTTTGAAATTTGTTTAAAATACATTTCTCATGTAGGTATTACACTATTTACTAAACAAAAATACACTATTTTGTGTTAGAGGAAATATAACTCTTACTGGGATAACATGTCTAAGTACCCGTAATAACTATATAAGGTATTTACATATCTAAGTGTTGTAAGTGTGCTATCTTCTTTAGGTGGTGGATACGTGCTCTTTCTGCCCACAACTCTTATATGTCAGTGTGGTAGCACTCTAAAGTGGGCATCATATCCGCGCTATCACAAGGAGGCAATTATACTTACATATCGCCTCCAGCACACGTACAGGTCATACACTTGTATATTACACACCTTGAGGCACGTCTTTAAATGACCTTAGCAGTTAATAGGACGTTAAACCTTATTCAGCCAAACAAAACTCCAGCACTTCCTTTCTTTATTGTAAATTTCACCGGGGGTTTAATTTTCACGAAGGTTCCTTGACACAAACAGTTTCCTTAAATTCAGTTTTTCACTAAAGCACTGCTAATTTTGATGAAAGTTTTAACCCCTGCAGATTCGGAGAAAGAATATACCTTCTCTGCCCATTGCATGATACCGCACGAGGCGACTAATGTGGGGACCCCTGCAAATCGGTGATTGTTTTACGTGTCTACAGCTTACTGAACATTGAACAAACCAAGTCATCTACTTTCCCTACGTCTAAAATGTTTGTTTCTTCTTTTCTCTTTCCTGCTCTTTTTTTTTAGTTGTGTCTCCCTAGACACACGTCTTCATATAACCTTGCCTGTTGCGAGAACGTTAAACCACATACAAATAAACGAATGTCAGTATTAGATGATCGGGTGGAATGCTGTGCTAGGTGCCTTCGGTATGGTGTTTTAGTGAGGTAGCAATTTAATGTCGGCATCAGATCCGCGCTATCACAAGGAGGCAAATACACCAATATACCCTGTCTCTTGCACACATACACACATGTATGCGTATACAACACACATGGAGGCATATCCTTAAATGACGTTAGCTGTTAATTGAGCGTTTAATAATATAAAACCAATACATCTTGCTAGACTGAACAGATATGACGTCACATTAATTTTGGCGTTATACAAGTTACTCGATAAGTTAATGTCATTTTGTTAATCGTATTCGACGTAAGATACATATATTTTCTTGTATATTTGTATAAACTATTTGTTTTTTGCTTTCTGTTATAGGTTGGCCTGGTGTTCATGCTAAGCATAGCTTCCTTGATCATCTACTTCATTGATGCATCCGAGTAAGTCATTTTATTTATATCAATTAAATCTGTGATTTCTGATATTTTTTTAAATATATTTATCTCTGTGATTTAAATGTTTCTTGTGTTTGTAATTATTCAAAAGTGTAAATTCTGCGCAAGTGACCATCCATAATGAACAATACTCTCTCTAAGAGACTGCCAGTTTCACGTGTACAAAATAAGTTACTCGGGCACGCCCTTAATGAACAAGTCCTTTTCATAAGATACCATTATTTTCACATCACCCGAATTCATATGTTTTCTTTACTGAGATGATATTTCCCTTAGGTGGCCCTTTTATGCAGATCTTGCTGTAGTCACTATTAGACCGGAAGTGTATTTTTGTCAGGCCTTACAGATACCTGTTATCGATTGCTTTATCATTAATGACTACCTTAAAAGTAATTTTGGCTTTTGATCTATTATGAAGGACGGTTCAAGCCCAAGATGCTTATCAAAATCTTTATTTAATTCATAACTCGTTTTTAGGAAAAGCTGCTCAGATGATTGTATAGAACGAGATCGGTTATAATCAAAATGATATGGTCCATGCATCCTAAATATATAAAGATATGTCGTTCATAACAAACAAAAAAACATTACTACACACACACTAGCATACGTTATCGTCAAACTGTGACTCGAAACACAGGTAAATCTTTCATTTTGCTTGCCTAGGGTTTGGAAATAGCATCGAGAACATTATTTGTTTTGAGTGGAGATCCTGTTCAAGGGTAAGCTAACAATGGTGAAGATTGTAGCAAGCTTGATACACATTAACGTTGTATCTATGTTTCAATTTCAATTTGATGATATTTATTAATGAAAAGAAGATGTACTAAGAGCATTATATTTTTTAAGGAATACAAGATGTACCAAGTCATTTCTTTAAAGCATTTTGTTTTCCCAAATTACTTGAATATTTAAAATCTAATTTTCTGGATACATTTATGTTTTCTGAAGGTAAATTTTATTCCCCGGACGAGGGCAGTTAATTCTTAGTTTTAGAAAAAAGAACCAGTCATTAGTTGAGGAACGAATTCAAATTAATATAATACCGGGCATCTTGTGAAGCAAGTACTCCCACCCCTGTAGAATCAGTGGTGGTTTCTTCCTTGTTTTCTATTTAGGGAACATCGAAGAAATAAGGTATAGACCCTTCAGGGATATCGTAAAAGAAAACTAATATGTGTCCCCAGTGGAATCGAGGGTTTTCTTTTGTGCCTTACACGAAGGTACATGAAAGAGATCTGCTGCTCCCCTTGCAACCCTTTTTCTTTCTTTTTTTCGTTTCCTTTCTTTCATGTCTTGCTTTTCTATCTACGTTCTGTTTCAGCCGGATGTGTTAAATGACCTAAGCTGTTGATAGGACGTTAATCTCGATTCAATCAATGAGGTACACGTCCTCATAAATTGCGAAGACGTAAAACCGCAAGGATAAAACAAACAAAAATGACGCAAATATTGCAAATAATACATCTCAGACCTTTGGGCCAAGCGATATAAAGCTTTATTTATTCAAAGAATGTTAACACACAAAGGTGCACTGAATGGAATTCATGATTATTAAAAAGGAAAAACTACACTTACAAGTCATGAGATTCAAACATGATTACTCTCAGCTAACATATATATATACACCGGAATATTCATATTATTGCAGATATTTGAGAGAGAAAAAATATAATAAATTTGAAATTTTGGCTTATGGTGTAATCAAATTGATGGAAAATGTATAAGTGGATGCTTTGTAGTGCTGCGTTTGTGCAAAACTTTATTGGCTAATCTTTTGTTATCTTTTAGGTAGATTTATCTTAAAGCTATGCTCTATTTATATTTCCTGTTTTTCAGCCGATATGATTCCGTGTAATGCTTTGAGTTTAGAACATTAATTGTTTTGAACATATGCAACTTGAAAAATGGTCGTTACTATTGATTTATGTTTGAATGTTCTTACGTAAAAGCATCACATTCATATATATTTTGATAAAGAGCACAAGTTCAGTTTACATAGAAATAAATATAGTAATTTAGTTTAAGGTCTGGTTTATGCATCCTTCTTATTGCACAGGTTTATTTCACAAAGAAATGTATTCATATGCAACGACAATCACTGCAAATGTAATTGTACCTACAAAGTTTCTGATTATGTCGGCAAAATAAAATATCACAAACGTTGCTGATGAATATCTCTTTCAACACGTTTTATGCTTGATTCATATCCTGTAGAAATTTGTGCTACCTTTTCCTATTGTAAGATAAGCTATTGTTGATATTACCTCGTGCGTGTAAGTATATGGTTATCTTCCTTTTTCTATTTCAAGTTTTATGAAGTAATTTCCCTAGCTTTTTTGTTGATGAAAATATGTACTTTCTTCAGACATTAAAGAAATAATTGATATCATCTTTTCCCTCTTTCATCTCCGAAGAAATTGCGATGCACTAGCCAGTCAAGCGGCAAATCTAGGTGGTTTTTTTGGCCTGATAAATGTTCCGTTACAAAAAAACAGCATACTTTTTGTGCTGAAAGATGACAATCTAGTCATAAATCTTTCCCTTTACAATCCTTATATTTAAACTACGCCCGTTCATTACACATTAAATTACCTAGAATTGAGTGGAGTTGTTTTGCCGTAATGTAAATGGTTCCGTTTTCTTGTCAATGTTGCACTTTTGTTGATTTATATAAAACTAGCCATCGAAATACGTTTTATAATTTTATTTTAGCGATATACTTGAATATCTCCATTATTGCCATTATCTAGGCCACTCTAATCTGTCCCGTTTATCTACTCTAAAAGACTGTTTCAACTGTCCTTCCTTACCTACTCTTAAGGATTAACTAATGTTAACGTTTTGGCCATTTTCATGCCCACATTTATCACTCTTTTCTCGGCAATTGTCAAGAGAGATTTTGTCATTTTATCCGCTCTTTTTTTCTATTGTAAAGGACAATTTTACTCTTCAATTGTTGCCATTGACAAAGGTAACGAACCCTATCGTTTCTCTATTGTTAGCAACAAGCTAACTCTTACATTACGTAAAGGGCATGCTTACCCTTCCTTGTTTGCTTCTGTCAAGATCTTCGTGCGAAGTAAACCATGCACTCTTGACAATTTGTCAACAAACTTGACCTCTTATCAAAGTACATATACGCCAGCCCGATCGATCTTATTAGTTCAGTAATCTGACGCCAAAGAGACCGATAAGAATTTAATTAAATATACAGCAGTGTGCATCGCCCTTGGCAGGATGATGGATGGATGCACAAAGTGCGGGCAAAATGCAGACTACATTATTTTCCAAAACCATCACATGGTTTTGCAGTAAAAAAAAAAAAAAACTGCTTAAGTTCTCGAACATTCTCATAATTAAGGAATGATGGTTCGTTCGGAGAGTGTATTTAAGCTTTCCCTGCAATACATACTAATGAAACAATCAGAAGCTTTATGAGCAACTGGACGTATTCAAAAAATGTACAGACAAAAAACAACGGCCATGATCACGAGGACCAGAGACCTATATTTTTATTTCAGAATATTGAATTGTATAGGTTTTGAATATCATAGGGATTAGGCAACAGGAAAAGACTATTTCATATAGATTTATATAGACTTATTTTATTAGGTATGAATACCATAGATTTTATTTATCAAGTCATTTCCATTTTTGTTTTCCATTTTCAGCTTTAATTAAGGTCATATGAGTGTATTGATAAACGAAAGTACATCCCTAGTTGAAAATCCAATCCGCATATTCTAATGTTGAGCATTAAACTGATGAATATTGTATGTTTATTATTGACAGAACAGTGTGTTCTCTCAATATTAAAGTATTTCAAAGCAATCCAGGCATTAATTCAGTTGTTTTTTTTATCAATGAGTCACATGTGTCCATATTTTCTGTACTTCAGGAAACCGGCTACCTATTTCATTACTAAGTTTTTCAAGACAGATTACTCTTACATGCAATTACTATGTGTAAATGGGTTTTTTTTTTTTTCAAAATCCACTCCTTTTTACATAAATTTCTATTTAAAATCCTTAAATTTTTGACAACCTATTTTTTTGTGGCAGATTTATTTTTTTACTTCAAAGTAATATAACTACAAAATTTGAAGAAATTCTTCTGAGAAATGGTGACACAATTCTATTACCTTAATCAACCTGCATCTTTGGAAATCATTTGTTGTAAGTTTGTCCGGCAGCAGTCGAAATTTTTTCACGGAAGTAATATTTTTACCAAGCTCTTTATATTTTAATACCGAATAGAATAGGACATGTAAATACCCTAAATAGGTAAAGAAGGGGTTTTGCTCTCAAGAAAGAAAGTTCTCTATCGACTTGCTTATCGTACAACTTTGCACACGCCGTCCTTTGTTTGTCGTGTTGCACGTACAGATCGGGGAAAGTGGCTAAATGTAGACGAGTCCCTAGTGTACTTGATTTCAAGCTCCGGAGGGTATATATACAATCGACATGGTCTATACATCACTTGTCAAAGACATCATGTCATTGATATATCTGAATGTGAAATGGAAGCACTTAACTAGTATATTGTTACCAGTCTAACAAGCATATGAATAATACAGTCAGCCTTTTTGTCGTGTTGCACGTACAGATCGGGGAAAGCGGCTAAATCTAGAAGAATCCCTAGTGTCCTTGATTTCAAGCTCTGGAGGGTATACATTTCTTGTTAAAGACAGCATATCATCGATATATCTGAATGTGAAATGGAAACACTTAGCTAGTATTTTGTTACCATTCTAATAAGCATATTAATAATAAAGTCAGCCTCGTTTGAAAACAAAAAGACGTCTGCTAGACATTATTTTGCAAAAAAATGTGTCTTTCATTTTTTTTTCAAAAGTCACTCCTCTTTACATAAATTTCCATATAAATTTCTTAAAATTATGACAACTTGTATTTTTTTGTGGCAGAATTTTTTTCTTTACTTCAAAGCAATATAACTACAAAATTTGAAGAAATTCTGCTGAG